ACAACAACAACATCATCAACAACAACAACAACAACACCACCATCACCACCACCACCACCACCACCACCAACAACAACAACAACAACAACAACAACAACAGCAACAACAACACCACCACCAACAACAACAACCATCTCACCTTGACCACAGGTGACGGAACACTCCGACCAGCGGGAAAACTTCCACTTAAACATGTTCTTCTCGTACGTGTTGTCAGACTTGTGCACCACGTAGCTGAAGCTCACGTTGAACTCTTCCTTCGCGCCTTTGGGGAACATCTGTGGATTGGTCCAGAATTATTTTGTTTTAGTATTAGTAAAAGTTTCACGACACTTGCGAAACAATCATCATCATGATCATCATGATCATCATGATCATCATGATCATCATCATCATCATCATCATCATCATCATCATCATCATCATCATCATCATCACCAACATCATCATCATCATCATCATCACCATTGCCTTTCTCACCCTGCACGAGGGTATAGGCCACGAACAAACTCTTTCCACCTTTCTCCATCCCGGGCTAGCCTCCTGGTGTTATTCCATGTCTTCTCATTTTTCTGTACATCAATTTCTGTGATTCTTCTCCAGGTTCCTCGCGGTCTTTTGCAACACAATAAGGTCACATAAATGCCGAGGATTAGAGGTATTGTTATAGAGAGTAAATGTACTTGAGAGGAAGGAGGAGAGATAAGGGTGACAGATGGTTGAAATGGAAGAAGGAGCAAACAACACCAAAGCGCCTTCCAATTAACTCACGATTGTTCCAGAGACGTGAGTTCCATTCCCACGTTGGGAAGATGTTTCAGTGAGTATCTGTATGTGTTTACTCGTAAGTGTATCACGGGCTTAAAGCCTCATAGTTGTGTGTGAAAGCAGGCATGACTATCTTTTCTTTGATATACAACAGCCTATTCCCTCGTCACATTGAATGTCTCGTGTGTGATTTTTTTTTGTTGGGGGGGGGGAGGTGAAGGTGGGGGGGTTGTAACGTTCCAAAACCTCCCACGATAGAATAAAAATCTGAGAAGTGGAAGTGATATATTGGTCACTTATTTTACGCCAATATTAACACTCCCCATACTCTTATAAACAAGTTTTACACTTGGGGTATGTATAAGCCCATCATATTTTAAAATAACGCATATTTTGCAAAACTGAGGAATGCGTTCTGACTGGTCGTCTTTCAGCCAATATTGTGACAACAGAGCTTCGTTGGTTTTCCTATTTTCGGCTTTATAAATATTTAATAATGTAACAACTCCACGAAATGTGAACCATGATATGACGAACGAATATTATAATTGTTGTACACAATCTTGTGCGATGCCTTACCTTAGCGTCAGTTCGTCGTTGTTCTTTTCTCATTAGGATTACTACTTATCCAAATGATGTACCTTTGGAAAAACTCACGTGTATTCAGCAGACCGATAAACAAGTACAAAAACAAAAGTTACAGGGAAAAAAGAATAACTTGACAAACCTGAAGTTCCAGTCTCGCCAAGAGTGGGCCAGGGGAGGTAATGCTCTCTGCGAAAGTCTTGTTGCCCCGGAAGTAGGAGAACATGGCTCCGTTGATGACCAGACGTTTGCTCTTGCTCTGACGTTTGTCTCCGTTCAGGACGAACTTCCCGTAGCGGGGGTCCTCGATGGCTGGGGTCAATGGTGGGGGGACAAAAGGGGAGGGGTTTTTGTTGCTGTTGATTTTGTGGGGTTTTTTGCTTTCTTTTTCTTTTCTTTTTTTTTTTTGAGGGGGGGGGGACATTTTACTTTACTAAACTTGCAACACAATAAGGCCATTTTCGTGCCGAAGTCCCAGCAGTAATGGATACCAGACTACGAGTTGTGGAAGTAAAGGCGGCGTGGAAAGGAACTGGCCACCCGAACACAATATGCCGAAGGCCCAGGAAGTTGTCTCACTAACAAGGCAATCCCCATTGTTCGTATCGGATGCGGGAACAACTTTACTTTTTACGTGTCGAAGATTAGAGACGTTACAAAAGATTAACATACTCCAAAAAAAAAGGAGAGATAAGGACGAAATATCTTTGATAGGAAAGAAGGAGCAAGCCACACAGTGTTCCCATCAACCACCCAGTGAAGAGGGAGGGAGGGAGGGA